AGTCCAAAACTATAAATGGAAATTGAGAGTTAAAATTCAGGATAGTTGAAGCAATGGCATATATGGCTCTGTTTTCTGTTTCTTTGTTTTAAATTAGATTTAGAGAATTTCTCAAAAAAAAAAGGGGGGATAGTAAATGAAAGAACAAATGTTTAAAAGAATTAGTCACCTCTTTCTTCAAGGATCAAAATATTTTGTTGATGGTGGCTTGATATGGTATGTGAGAGCAGCAAAATATTCCTAGAATATAACTAGAATCTGAGTGCCAAAGTTTTTAATATGTCTGTGTGTATCTTAAATTTTATTTTAAAATTTAGGCAATGGAGAGTTACAAAATGGAGAGTTACAAAAACGTCTTTAGCAAACTTAACATCAAGATGACTACTTATACAAAAAGGTTAAAGCAGTGATTCACAAAATGTGGTTCCTCGGGGGTGGCTGGGTGGCTCAGTCAGTTAGGCGTCTGCCTTCAGCTCAGGTCATGATCCCAGGGTCCTGGGATCAAGCCCTGCGTAGGCTCCCTGATCACTGGGGAGCCTGTTTCTCCCTCTCATCCCTGCTCATGCTCTCTCTTGCTATCTCTGTCTCTTTCTCTCTCTCTCAAATAAATAAATAAATAAATCTAAAAAAAAAATGTGGTTCCTGGACCGGCGATATCAGTAACACCTAGGAACTTCTAAGAAATGCCTATTCTTGGGCATTGGTACAAACTTACTGAATAAGAACTCTAAAAGTGGAGCCCAGCACTTGATTTTGAAGGTAGAGCCAATCACTCACACAATTCTGATGCTCACTCAAATTTGAAAGTCATGGGATTAATTAAGAGATGAGTTGAGGGTAATCTTAAATTGTCTGAACTGTTTGGGAAGATCTTGATTTTATTAACTTGACATAGGAGATATGGTAGACAGAACAAGTTTGAGGAAGAAAAATTAAAAACTTAGTATTATACATTGTTCAGCTTTAGGTAATAGTGGGACATCCACATGGAGATGGCCAGGAACAGGTTGGAACAGAGAATTCGGAAGTTAGGATCAGATCTAATTTTAAAATTTAGGATTCTACACATATATTTAGAGGTGAATAGCTACCCATCAGTTTGTATAAATTTGCTACAGAATATTATTTTAAAAACCAGGAAAGCTAAGTGGAGACTGAGGAACATCTATATATCATGGCTTGGCAGAGGAGGTAAATCTAATAGAAGGAAGAAGAATTTCTATGTCATCTTTCAAGGTTAGAGGAGATGAAGAAATGCTGTGTATAAAAAAAAAAAAAACATTTGGGATATATGAGAAGAAAGCAAAATTTTTTTGACTAAGAAATTGTGAGTTCAAAGTAAAATGAGTCAAAAAATTAGGAACATTTGTAAAAAAAAAAAACTACCAAATGGGTTAAAGAACATGAATTTGGAGTGAATTCAACTGTCACTCATCAATTTTTCTAGAAATACCAAGTACATCTGAGCAATTGTAAGGAAAATGATTAACAATTATTTCACAGGTTATCAATCCATGAGATTGAGATGGCAAGTAGGTAAAATCAAATGCTCAGAAAATCTAGTGTTTGGTCCAAACCTAAAATTTCAGCTTTCTCTATACTCCTATATATGTCTTGGGCCCAATTCAACTACAAATGAATCAAGGACACTTCAGTTTTGTTTCATGTGAACACTTGAAATTCTTCTTGAGTCCCTTAAGATAACAGCTTCCATTGTGTTCACTGTATGCTCACACATTAACACCTTGCTGTAGTACATATTTATCTGACACCTCTCCTTCAGACTTGATGATAACATGTCACTTCTTCAATGTAGACCTAAAAATACTTTCTCAGGATTTGCTTTGTACTCTCTTCACATGCTCTCTGATATTTTCAATAGAAATGTGCATTATCTTTAGTCCCTCAGATATAAACTCCTGGGACTGACAGACCTATCACAGGGAAGATTCCTTTATCAAGGATGCTTATGAGAACCCTGTTCATTGTCTATAGCCTAGGAACGGAGGCAAGTCAAGTCGAGAGGAGAAATCATAGGGAATTATGAAAGAGTTATGTAACTGTGACTGTTGGTGAAGTCAAATGATAATGAAATCAAATATTTTTAAAAATTAAGGTTTATACTTTGAAGAGAGAAAAGTTTTGGCCACAGTTGACTATAGTAAGAGAGTAATAACTTTGAGAATAAAGATTAGTAAGGGCAGTTCAAGAACATTTATTAATCTTTAAGTTCCAAAAAAATTATGATAGGACAGATGTAGAGAATATAATTGTCAGCAGTATAATACTTAGATGTACCAGAGCATATGAAGAGGTATCTTAAAGATAAGTGGATAATGACACTAAGGTAGGCGAGAGATTGGCATGTCCCACGTTAAGTATTTTGCAGGAGGAGGAAAAGAGTGATGGAACAATGACTTGGTTATAAGTAGTAAAAAAAGAGTAACTCCTGTAAATTTCTGATACCCATCATCTTAGGGAGAAAATGTTGTTACAAAAGAGGAAAGTGACACACGTAGATTCACCACCTTCTGTTCTATTTTCCCTATTTGAGTAATTCCAATTTACACTTCAAGTCTTAATTTCTATTTTGCCTCTCCCTGGAAGGCTCCCCTGCTCACTGCCTCCCTCAGAGACATCCAATTAATTTAGGTGTGCTTCTCTGTTTACTCTTGACAACTTAGGTTGTCTAGATCAACTGTGTTCCTAGCATCTAGTTTAGGCTTGGAGCATCTAGTTTATAATGCATAAATATTTGTTAAATTAATGAAATAATTTTTCACTGTAAGTCTCTTTATCAGATTTAAAAATGGTTTAATTATGCAAAATCTGCACACATAGGATATGTGTAAATAAAAGTTAAGTCAATCAATTTAGCTCAGTATTTTAAAAATTAGTTTGCATTTTTTGCACATTATAAGAAGACAGAAAGGAGCAGTAAGTACTGGCCTAAGGTTTCTAAACATGATTTAATGATATGAAATCCCACAAACATATTGCTTTTCCTAAAGCTGATTTCATTATTTTTTAATTTGAGATAAACAGTAAGATATATTCTCTTCAAAAACAAACAGATATAATTATTCTACACAACAAAGTAAATATAACAGGATAAGAAAATGACTACTCTTAGGTAACTACTCCTATTTTGGAGAAGAAAAGGAAAATCAGAATTAAAACATTTGTGTATAGCTAAGACCTAAGGGGGGACTCTGATAAGTAGGATTTCAAATAGATTAATTCATTGCACCTGGCAGTGATGAAAACATAAGATGTGTTCGAAGAAATCTCTCCACTATATATCAAAAGTCATAGAAATATAACACTTCAAACACAGCTACCAAGATAACTGCTTTTCCAAAATAATACAATTATTTAAATTAAGAATATAAAATATGTAAGTCAAAGGAAAATCTGCAATGAGAATTGACTATAATCTTGACAAAGGCAGATAGAAACGTTCTACAAGACCTATTGGACTTGATAGATCTCTGATTTTTTCTTCATATGATTCAGAAATACAGTCAAAGCAGAATTCCTTAAGCTTTTAAAAATAATTTTGCTTTGTTAATTTTGCTGTCATTTTAGATCAAATTTCCCTGATGTCCATTTTGCCATGGCTTCTGAAGGTCTTCCTGTCAAAAGTGAGAATACTCGTAAGGTCAAATAAATACACCACAAAAATTAGAATGACTGATTCACACAACTGTAGAACCTCGGATCAAAACTGTAGAACTTTGGATCTGAACATAATCTTAACAATCATCACGTTTAGGCACATCAGTATAAAAGTCAAGAGGCTAGAGAACCAATAACGTGTGGAGCTTTGTTCACGACAGATATCAGGTACTGAACTGGTGGTAAAACTGAGTCAGAACTTGGTTCTCCTAACTTTCATGGTAGTGCTTCTTCTGTTACAGTATGCTGCCTATTACTTATAAATAAAACACAACATACAAATATTATGTCTAAATTAACAAATAGAAAATAAATTGTAAGAGATTCTCATGAACACTAATATCCCAAATTGTTACATATTTTAAATAAAGTTTTAAAAGTAGCTCTCTCAAAAAGGGAAGAAAGAAGTGTTGCAAAGCATATAAAGGAGTTTTGAAGGTATATAGTGGAAATATATTCTGACCTATCAAATTGTTCAGTAATCTAGAAAAATGAACAAAAAGTCACCTAACATTGTTTCTTCATTTGATATTCAATTTTGAAGTGCATTAATTCCGTCAAAGTTCACACAGCAGTAAATAAGAAATTGCTAAGTTAAAAAACACAGTCAAGAAATAGGAAAAATGTTTCAGCTCAGCGTATCACTAGTAATTCATCAAACAGGGAATAATTCACAAAGCATTCAATGAGCGATAAAAATCAAAATAATAATAGTAACAGCCCCTTCCACTTCTAGGATGATGAAGTAGATACACTTTTTACTACTCTTACTAAGTACAACTACAAACAATAGTGATCATACTAAAACAAAACAACTTTTGGAAAGAATAAAGCAGACCATCGAGGCAGCCTGAGACGGAGCAGCCTTGTGGTTGTGGGCTTTGAGGGACTTCTTTCTGTCTCGTACACAAAAAGACTAGGAGCTGAAGAAACCATCAACCCAGAAATGACAACGAGTACAGACACACACACACACACACACACACAAAGCAACAAAGGCCTGCTCTCTCCAGGTTAAAAAACAACAGGGAAAGGGGCAGCCTGACAAGGCAGAAAACGAAAAAAGTAAAAAAATTCTGAAAGCATCCAGTGAAAGTCATCACCTTACTCACAGGGGAAAAACGATTAGAAATACACTGGCTATTATTCATAAGAAACAACGGAGGTCAAAAAGAAGTGGGGCCCAAGAATTTTCAAGGGCTCAAAGAAAAGAACTGTCAACCCAGAATCCTACATCCAGTGAAAATATTCCTCAGGATGCTTCAGAACAGAAGCGTATCTTTAAAATCACTCGACAAAATTTTATCTCAAAAGAGCATTACCTGGTTTACTTGCAGGGTTAATTTCCTGCTGTTGAACACATTCACTGTGCCGCCTGAACTATGGCAACAGATACAAGAACGTGAAGCTGCAGGCTTGCGACAGATCCCCGCCCCGGGCGACTTGGGTGCGACCGGACGGGACGTGCGCAGGGTGGAGCCCGGGGAGACCAGGCGGGTCGTCACGCCGCTGCTGTGCAAGTGCCTCGGTTTACGGCAGCCGAGGGGAGAACTAGGGAGCCGAGGAAGAGAGGAGCTTCCGGTAGAGGGCGCCCGGCCCACAATCCCCCTTGGTCCTGTCTGTCCCCGCCCTTCCCATCTTCCCACCGCCCCACAGCACCTCGGGAGGACTGCAAGCACCGGAGGCTTCCGCCTCACTTTCCCGCCCAAGCTGGAGGCCCTCCGCCCGCCCCACGCGCTGCTGCCCTGGGCCCAGCCACGTTCCTCAGTCAGCAAGCGCTCAGAACTCAGGCCCATGGTTCCTTGCCGAAGCGGCCTTGCCTGAACCAGCTTCTCGTCACGGCCTGAGCCCCAACGGAAGGGAGAAGAGTGGCTCTTCTGTCTCCCGGGCGCCTTGGCCTAGGACAGGAGTTGGGGAAGACGCGGAGTGGCAATGTGTGGGTCTCATTGGGACCTGGCCAACCCACACCCCTGCTGACTGTGAACAAGCTCCCGGGAACTTGGGGGAAGGGAACGAACATGCCTCTCAGCCTCGGTGTCACTCAGCATTCCTGGTCATTGGCTAGAAAAGACCTCCGTGCCATTCCCAGTATCTCAAGCTCCGTGGATATCCCTCTGTCCGCCAGCTCCCTCCCACCACCCTAACTCAGCGCTCCATGCCCAACCAGCCCCCGCACCAGTCCATGGGCAGGTGCCCTCATGACCGCTGGAGAAGCCAGAAAGCAGGTGCATCACCCCACCTCGGCCCCTTGCCATTATATCCGAAAGCAGGGGGGTGGGAGAGTCAGAGTATTTATTTAATCTGCTTCCTCCATTAGATTGTGAATTTTGTGTTTGGTCTGCGTGTGTGCGTTGTGTAAGACTGTGTGTATATTCTGTATCACCAAAACCTGGCATAGTGCCTGTCACATATTAGGAGCTCAGTGAACATTAGTTGAATAAGAACGTATTTAGATATGCCTTTGTCTCAACAGAACTTACTCCGATTTAAACCATAGGCATAAAACACAGGCATCCTCATTGCCCATGGGCCTGCCACTTTGAACTCTCTGCCGTCTAACAGAACTGCTCAAGAGGGTCGATTGTTCCAAAGGATGCCGCAAAATGTTTGTTACCTGGTATCTTATAACCTGGGAGTGACTTCTCTTTCTATCCATAACACTGGAGTTTCAAAATTATCTTTCCAGATAAATTAATAAATTTGATAACTGAGTAACAACAACTGTGACAGACATTCTGCTGGGAGCTAGAGTTACAATGGGGATTAGATTAAAGTAACTCACTACCCTTGCCTTCATGGAGATGATGAACTTCTTCTGATGGGGACAGAATAAATCAGAGTTTCACAAATAGTAAAACATGGGTTCTCTCAGGCTTCCGATGTCTTTGCATTATCGTATTCAATGCATTACCTCTTTTAGTACTATTCCTTAGAGTAGGAATAACCATATGTGAAATTTGATTTCATTGTATTTTCATCATACAGACTTTATGAAATTTGGTTTTCCTTGTATTTTCATAGTATAGAGTTTAGGATGCCTTGCATCTCTTGTGCTCACTATCATTCATCCTCTCTTACTGTATGACTAGCACTTGCTCAGTATGATGTCTTTGAAACTACACAAAAACACTGGCAAGTGCAGAAGACTTGGCAAAGCATTTACTCATCATCCTTAAAATGTTTTTCAGGATAGTGATTTCTATGTATATTACATGTTGAAAAATCATAGTCTAACCTTTTACCCTGAAATTATCAGTACCAGGTTTTAAATGGTGAACCACTGACTCAAGTATACATCGATTAAAGGAGAAAATCTCTTCAAAAACATATGATTGTGTCGACTTTGACCGTATTTCAGATTTAAAAAAATCAGCCTCTTTGCCTGGCCACAGGCAGCTTCATCATGCTAGCAAGATAATTCCACTCTGTGTGGAAATATCATGTTGGTGTAACGGTGGGCCTGAGAATTAAATTAACCTAAATTTAGATTCAGGCTACATGATTTACTAATTTGCAAAAATTACTTGGAAAAAAACTTAACTTCCTTTTCCGTAATCCTCATTTTTCTTATCTATAAAGATAGTGGTAGTTCTTATATTTCATCTAATCTAAAACACCATTTATTGTAAGGGATGCTTGACTTACCATCAAGAGAGAATAAATGGTAACAAATAAGTGAGACAAATGTATGGTTAGTAAAAAAGATTCTAATTTTAGAGATGTGCTTCCTAAAAAATGACAACATAAGACATTTCACATGTTTGTTAAATAATACAATATGTAATTTAATTTTAATATACGTAAAATACATAACATGTTTCCTTAGAGCTTTTGAAGGTTAGTTTCTTTCCTGATTCACCTTCAGTCAGGCTCTTATAGTGGTTTTGATGATCAGATTAAATGTGGTTTATATGCATAAGATCCTACAAATCCATTGCCAGTTCTCTTGCTTACTGTTGCATTATATGATCAGAATCTATGAATATTTACCCAAGCCCAGCTACTAATTTGTCTTGTGATTTTAGAGAAGTAACTTAATTTTCTTGACTCAATTTATTAATTAGCAAAATGGCAATACAAGCTTACAAACATATTATTGAGTTTAAAATATACAGTGGATTCTAAAATAATTTCCAAATACAATAGGTTAAGTAGCAGTGGAAAGATTGCCTAAAGCAAATGAAATCTATGTAGCATTGTTAATTCAAAAAACATTTTGCCGGGGCACCTGGGTGGCTCAGTCGTTAAGCGTCTGCCTTCGGCTCAGGTCATGATCCCAGGGTCCTGGGATCGAGCCCCGCATCGGGCTCTCTGCTCGGCCGGGAGCCTGCTTCTCCCTCTACCACTCCCCCTGCTTGTGTTTCCTCTCTCGCTGTGTCTCTCTCTCTGTCAAATAAATAAATAAAATCTTTAAAAAAAAAAAAAAAAAAAAAAAAAAAAAAACATTTTGCCTGTGTAAGTGCCACTGAATGAGGAATCCTCTCCAGAGAAAGACAAAGGCAAAAAGCTTGAAAAATCCTCTCATCCTTTATAGGTAAAATCTCCAGAGCGGGGGTTTGGGCAGATGGGAAATTTTTACTCCCTGTGCTATATCTGCTCAGTTGATAAAAAGAAGACTTTGATCTTTGAGACTGTCAATCCAGCTCTTTTTATGAAAAATTTGCTTAAAGTAAACAGTAAAAGTAGCAAAGCAGTTATTAAAATTCCACCCCAATTGGCTATGCTCCCAGTTCCAAAACCCAAAACATAATGCCCACTGATTATTCAGATTATGTTTAAAGCTTTTTGTGTGTGTTTTTTAAAAACACTACTATAAATAACCGATCTAGTTGCGAAAATTACAAATCTTCTCTTTCAAATTGTAATCGTATTAGATGAGCTAAAGTAAGATCCAGCAAAAACCCTTTCAGTGACATTTCTATTGATACAAGTTCCAAGTACTCAATTCTGAGCTGCATTCAGTCACTAGAGTTTTGTGCATAAAACTATGAAATATTACACTTGAGCTTAAAACCACTGGCTGTCAATCACCTGAAAAGCACACTGATCTGTATAATTCTTTTATATATATAATATGTATTTTTTTTTTAAGCTTGGTATGTTAATCTATTCACGGAGGTGGTCTCTTCTCACCTTTAGTCTCCTTCAGACCTACTTGTTTTTTTTTCTCTTGTTGATGCTGTTTTGAGAGATGTCCACTGGGATTTTCGAAGAAAAAAAAAAAAAACAATATATAATGAAATAAAATCTCCACCTAAGACATCTGTTTGACAACCTTGTTATCTGTAATTATACAGTGGATACATTAGGTCTCATCATTCCATTATTTGCTATTTAGAGAAGATGGGGAGGATAAAAACTATGTTTCTTAATCTCTGTTGCAGCAAAAGTTTTAGAAATAAATGAATGAATTCCCTTTTTTGACTTACAGAAGACAGATGTGTAGGAGGAGCCGGCTTGTTGCTGTTCTTGCTAGTGACAAGGCCATGAGTGTGAGCACTAAGCCTCCGCATGGCAGGTCCGTTGGACATCTGGAGACAGAGCTGCAGTTGTGAATACGACAGCAGAATTGTCATCCTCACCTCTGCAGCATTGTTCCTTTGTCTATATGTCTAATACTTTTTAGTCCCCTGTATTGAATTCCTTCCGTGGAAAATACCTAAAGTAGTTTCTATTTCTTTCACTAAATCCTGACTGCAAACCTATTAATGGAGAATACTTTTAATTTTTAAATCATTTTCCTAACATATGTAAACATAAAGGGGAAATTTAAGATTGCTGATACATGCCTTTGCATCAAGAATGAAAGAGTAATCACTTATATGTTTCAAAGGAATTAATAGTTTCCAAATAATTATGTAACTATGTAACTATGAAAACTTCACTTGTGGTTAAGTATTGTAGCATAGTTCTTGACCCAAAACTAATCATGTCATTTCAGAGGGAGAGAGATTATACTATCAAGTCATTTATATTAGATTATACTATCAAGTCATCAAAAATCTAAGACCCAAAGATTGATGTGACTATCTTAATATTACACAGTGTCACAGGCATTAATAAAACATATTTCCTAACTTTTTTTTAAGACTTACTGTTACTCTATAAAGATTTCCAACTTTGAGAGTCACACCTCACGTCAGTTAAAAAAAAAGAAGGAATAGACAAAGAGCATGGAGATATTTAATAATTTAGTTAATATCCAAAAAAATATTTAAGTTTCTACTAGGTGAGAGGCATTCTGATAGGTGTTTTATTAGGGAATAAAAACTGAAAGCAAATGAGTTATACAAATAATTTTTAAAATTGTCAGAAAAGTAATGGTTAAAGCCTATGGGGGAGAAGAAAAAAAAGACATGATAAAATAATGGAACTAATCATAGAAATTGGAAACAAACACAAAAAATAGAGAATATGAACAAACTGAGCA